CTCTGCTCTGCTTGGATCTGTCGGTGATGTTTTCTGGGATCAGCCCTGGTGTGGGAACTGACAAACAGCTGGGAACAGACAAACAGGAGAGCTGGGGCTGGGCTGTCCCAGCTGCTGCTCCTGCAGAGAGGCTGCATCTCCATCGTGGGGAGGGTGCAGCAAAGCCTGGAGCCATCACAACCTGTCTTGGGGTTAAAAAAACCCCAGCCAGTAAATTCACACCCCAAAAAGCCTGTGCTGAGGGAGAGACACTGCAAAGCTCTGTGATTTCAAAAGGCAGCCAGGGAAGCCCAAAGCTCTGAGTGTGGCACACCAGGTAGAGAAGCTGCTCTGGGATTCCACAGCCCCTGTAGGTCTGCACGTGTCCTGGGCTCAGCTTTCCCTCCTGCTCTGCCTCACCTGAGGGATCACAGAGCCTCCTTCCAAGGACTGCACGTTGTCTTCAGCAGCACAGGCTCTTGAGGCAGAGCCTTTGGGCATGCAGGGAATGTGTCAGCCTGACAGGTAAAGAAAACATCCTCCAAGTGCATATAACTTGAGCACATATTGTCTGGGAACCACTCTGACAATAACCACAAAGCCTCAACACACCATTCTGACAGGCCCTGTTAAGAGCAGAAGAGCTCTTTAAAGCCTTGATTCACAAAGCTGAATCCCATCAGCACTGCATTAAACTTTCACTGGCTTTCTGTGCTTCAAGGCTGGGGAGAACCAGAGCGTTATCTGTGTGCCCCACACAATCTGAGCCAGAGAGTACACCCAGAGGTAGCTGTTTTGGCTGCTTTTTGCCTCTTCCTTACATAAATCCATGCACAATTCCCAGGTTGTTGTGCTCAGGTCTGATGCCAGAGTTTAGAGACCAAGCTGGGCTTTTGTGAACTATTTGGACCACGCAGGAGTTCTGCAAGAAGAGACTGCAGAGGCAGGGCTACATAATAAAACTGCGCTCCCTGTGCTCTCTGAGGCAGCCAGAGGAGCAGGGAGGATGCAGAAGGATCAGTAATGAGAAATGCAGCTCAGTGCAGGGGTCACAAAGGCTGTTTTGTGGCCCAGGTGCCAAGGCCTGTCAGAGGTCAGGGCTGTGCACTGTGACACTGCACTGATCCATGAGGAGAAGGTGCCACGACTGAAGGAAATCTCTGGATGCTTGGCTACAGCTGCTGTGCAGCTCCTGGGAGCTCTGGTCAGTGATAAAGAGGCTCTCTCCAGGAGCTATAAATATTGTCACACAGGTGTAATTTTGCTGGATGCATGTGTCAGGCTTGCTGTTCCACCAGAGCAAGTTCATCTATAACTGTAAGCCTTGACTAAGAGGAGTTGGCTCTCCCAGCAGGATAAATAGCAGGAGATGTGCCTCTAATTGCACATCAGCAGAGCTGATCCCTCAAGGATATTGCCTGGTACAAGGGAAAGGAGCAGGACATCCTCAGGAGTCAAACTGCATGGCCAGGTTGATCCATGCAAGGGATCACCTGGGCAGTGCTGCCAGGCACTGGAAATCAGGTGGAAGCTCAAATTCTCTCCCCAGTGAGCAGGGCACCCCTTTGGGATTTGCATTTTGCTGGATGCCAGCTGTGTGAGTTTGGTTTCAAGTTCCTGCTCCTTCCTTTAAGGACACACATGCACGTCCCTGGCCGTGGGGGAGGACAGCAAAGGCATCACCTGGACAGAAAACAAGAAAATCACCTGGACAGAAACCTTCCCTGGGAGAGGTTTCAAAGCAGTTAACAAGGGAGGGTGATACCACCATCATTGCTTGACAGGGAAATTGAGGTGGGAGTGCCTTGGAGTGGCAAAGCCAGACAGATTTTGGTGGCTGAGCCTGAGGCTTGGTCCTGGCCCTGCAGTCTGTGCCCTTGCATCTTCCTTCCTGACACCCCACTCAAAAGAGGCCCTGGTGCTCCTGAGCAGCACCAAGAGGAAGAAAGGGGATCCTCAGATGCTCCAGGACAGACATCCCATCCTGGATGTGTTTAACTGCAATCCCAGAGCAGTCCTGCATGCTGTGGTCATCTGGGCAGCTCTAACCACAGAGCCTCCCCTGGGCTTCACCCACTGGGGAAAGAAAAGATCTCTGTGCACAGGAGCTCCTGGCTCTGTGCAATAAAAAACATGACAAAAGGTCTCATATCCAGCCCTCAGCTCTGAGGGGGCTCCTCACCTCTGACAAAGCCTTAGGGAGGTATTTAAGGGGGACAGGAGCACCTGTAAGAGGAGGTCCTTCATTCCCCAATTCTTCAGCAGACAGCTAAACTGAAGGATGGTTTGAGTTAATTTTTAAAAATCCCAAGGCTCTCTTTTCTTCCAGAAGCTCATTCCCAAGAGTCTCATGATGCTGCTGCCATCCTGGCACCTGCCCAGCCCTGAATGGAAGAATAAATCCAATACTTTTTTAGTCACTCAAAACTTGCTGAAGCTAATGGCTGTTTGCTGAATAAAGAAGTAGTGAAATGATTCAAAAGCTCTGAAATTGAGTCTTTTTTTTTTTTTTGGCTGTCTTATGCCAGCAGCTCCTGTAATACTTTACAGTCAGACAATGATCCAAAGTGTGGGGAGTGTGAGTTGTCTACTTGCAGGTCAGAGAGCTGGGAGCAGAACAGAGCCCTTAAGTCAAGCTGGGCTTTTCCCTTCATTTACCCCATCTGCCTTAATGTGAGATCAGTGATGTGTGGAGACCTAAACCCCCAGGGCACTGGCAGGATTAGCTCGTATTTGAGAACTGCTGCACAAAAGCAAGGCATTGTTTATCAATGTGGGCTGTAAAACTTGCTGACACCGTGTAGATTCGCAGCCAGTTTCACTATGAAGAGATGAAATTCTGCCTGGTCCTCATAAACAGAGGTGAAAGTGCAGCATCTCAGCACACAGAATCCACAATGAAGCCTGTTATTAGTTAGGATTGGCTTGGAGATGGAGACAGAGAAAATAATTTTTTAAAACAAAGATTTACACCTTGCCAAAACCAACTCAATACCTTTCTTGTGCATTTATCAGCAGCTTGTTGTTTCATTTACAACCTATGACTCCTGCAACCCTGGCTTCTCCAAATCACAGTTTTTAATTAGCTGTTTGTTGGGTTTTTTCCCTAATGATGTGCATCGATCACATAGATTTGGATTTTTTTAATTCCACAAAGTGGGAAAAAACAACCCCATTGTTGTCACAAGCAAGCTTGGTCTCATTAGATGTGTGAAATGGTTCTGCTCTAACATGCTGAACAAATTTAGATCTCTTAAGCTGCTGGAGAATAGCAAATTCTCTCAGCCTAATGTTCCCATACCAACATTGGCTACCTGATTCATATCCCATCACAGGTCAGGAAGAAAATTAAACCAGGTTGCACCTCACAAACTATAGATCACATCTACCTCAGCACATAAAAGCAAAAAAAAATCAATGTGAATGATGAGGGAAAATCTACCTGTAAAAATGTACCAAGCTGAGGATCAGTGATGGTCCATAGGTAGGAAACAAGGAGAGCATGGAAAGCAGCAGGGTAGGTGTGGAAACCCAGGGCACCACAGGGAATATTTCTGTGTCTGCTCTGGGGTGCCCTGACCCCAGGGCAGCACTGACTCTGACCCTCACTCATGGAGAAAGTTTCCCAGACTTTAAGATAGACTGGAATCCACAAAAGTGTGAAATAGATTATAGAGAGCAGTGTAGGTGTGTCACTTGGTGAGAAATTGAGGTTTTGGGGATTTTTAGTGTGTTGTGGATGGGAGCAAGATGGAGGGCACAGGGTGCTGTCCTGGGTTTCTTCTTCATGCTTCTTCTTCCTTCTTCTTGGGTTTGGGTGGCATTTTTTAATTGGGCAGAAAAGTGCCCATTGGGGGCTCTGTGGGATCAGTTATTGGGTTAAAAGGGAAAATAATCTAGGTGTCAGTTCTTAATTGGAGAGTTTAGTCTTAAAAAACCTTGTAACAAGAGATTGTTGGCCATTTTGTGCCTTGCTGCTGAACTCACAGTAGTGAGACTGTTTTACTGATAAGAAACAATAAATACCTGAGTCCCAACATGAACTACTGTCTCCAGTGCCTTCAATCCAGACCCAGAGAAACCCACAACTGTACCCCCACAGGCAGGACTCAAATCTACTAACAAGAGTTAGTGCAAGCCCACATAAACCCTGCTGTGAGGCCCCCTGAGGTCCCTGCATGTGCAGAAGGACCTGGATTCCCTGGCAGCAGAGCCAGACTCACCTCATGGTGTACAGGAGGTGCCATGGTCCAGGTGAGCCAGACTCACCTCATGGTGTACAGGAGGGTAGCATTGTCCATGGAGAGGCAAACTCACCTCATGGTGTACAGGAGGTGCCATTGTCCATGCAGAGCCAGACTCACCTCATGGTGTACAGGAGGGTAGCATTGTCCCTGCAGAGCCAGACTCACCTCATGGTGTACAGGAGGTGCCATTGTCCATGCAGAGCCAGACTCACCTCATGGTGTACAGGAGGTGCCATTGTCCATGCAGGGCCAGACTCACCTCATGGTGTACAGGAGGGTAGCATTGTCCAGGTGAGCCAGACTCACCTCATGGTGTACAGGAGGTGCCACTGTCCCTGCAGAGCCAGACTCACCTCATGGTGTACAGGAGGTGCCATTGTCCAGGTGAGCCAGACTCACCTCATGGTGTACAGGAGGTGCCATTGTCCATGCAGGGCCAGACTCACCTCATGGTGTACAGGAGGGTAGCATTGTCCAGGTGAGCCAGACTCACCTCATGGTGTACAGGAGGTGCCATTGTCCATGGAGAGCCAGACTCACCTCATGGTGTACAGGAGGTGCCACTGTCCATGGAGAGGCAGACTCACCTCATGGTGTACAGGAGGTGCCACTGTCCATGCAGGGCCAGACTCACCTCATGGTGTACAGGAGCTGCCAGTGTCCATACAGAGCCAGACTCACCTCATGGTGTACAGGAGGTGCCATTGTCCAGGTGAGCCAGACTCACCTCATGGTGTACAGGAGCTGCCACTGTCCCTGCAGAGCCAGACTCACCTCATGGTGTACAGGAGGGTGCCGTTGTCCACCAGGCGCAGCAGCTTGTTGGGGGTGGTCATGTTGTGGGCAACAGATTTCTTCCCGTTGTGGAAGAAAGTGTCAGGAGTCCAGATCTTACTGGCCAGCAGGTTGTTCAGGGGAAGGATTTTCATGGGACCATCAAACTTCAGCCTTTCATCTCTCCAGGATTGCCGGAAAAAGACATCAATGGTGTATTCCTTTGGGGAGAGAGGAGAGAAAAGTAAGTTGTGTTTTACTCAGCTCAAGAGGTGGCAGAAAACTGGGTTTTGGCACACCTTGGGTGACACAAAGCGTGGTGCAATGAGCAGAAGGGGTTAACAGCAGTGCAGGGTAGGTGGGATCCAGTACATTTTGGGTAATGACTTACCTATGATGTCAAAATGTGCATGTCAGTGTTTCTGAGCACTGCAGGGAAGCTGCAGCACAGCCCCTACAGTGGCCAGAGCTGGGGCAGCCCTGCTGCACCACCACCTCTATGCAGAGGTTTCAGGGGAGAAAGGCCATTTTGTGCAGCTACACAGGTATTTTAGAAGGCAAAAATAAAGATCCTGGAGATGGAATCTGGCCAGGATGCTGGTAATTATATCTCTGCTCATAAAAAAAAAAAAAGAAATAAACTTGCATGACATTGTCTTAATGTTATTTTGTTCCCCAGGCCACCTTTAGAAAATCATTGAATTGAAGACTTTACTGGCATTACAAGATCCTGTGACTTTCATTTATCTTCTTTTTCTTGTTTTATTTCCTTCTTTTTTTTTTTTTTTTCTGCCAATGTAAAGACCAATTTCCTGTCCAAATTCCAACTGGGGCACTTAGAAGTCACCACTTTGAAACCCTGCAGCCAAGCCAGCTCCTCACTCAGTGAATGCAGATTCAGAAACCACTTTTAGGGGCAGAGGGGTCTTTGGAAAACCTCTCTGTCCCAACTGTTCTTCCTCCCCCTGCTGCTGCAGACTCGTAATCTTTATTTACACATTCCTGGAGGCCGCAGGACCAACCAAACTTATCATTGTGAGTGATTTCTTTCCTGCAGCACTTCTCAGCAGTGCTGAAAAACTGCTGTGCATCACTTTCCTATAGGACAGAGAAATTCCTACAGGTTTTGCAGCAGATGGCAGCTGAATGAGGCATCTCTGTGAATAAATCCATCCCTGCTCCCTGGCCATGGAGACACCCCTGCTCAAATATGAACCTTCTGGATCTTGGCTGGGGAAGGAAAGAGAAATTCTACATTCTCAAGGGCTCTGCCCTGTACAAGGTATTTTGCCCCTTCATGGAAGTGATCTCTAATTCATTATTTCTTGGGATAAGCCCAAAGAAATGAGCCTGTGTGCAATCCTGGGAGGTTTGGGAAAAGTCCTTATCAGGAAAAGGGCTCTCTCATTCCCTGTTTCTATTTAAAAAGTGCCAGACAAAGAAGCAAAACATTTTTTAATGACTTCCAAGGCCCTGCTTATCTTCTTTAATGCTTAGGAATCATTCCTGAAGAAAAGAGAAATCATGTTCAGGATGTTCCCCTCCTTTCTATGCTTCTTTCCATAAAAGCATTATTCCCAACTCCCCCCTTCCAAGGAGCACACTTTGTTCCGTGTTATGCTCTTCTCTGCCTACAGAAGTGACTGAAAACATCCAGACTGACTCTGTCCTCAGAGTCCACCCATGAAACAAAAAAAATCCCCTTCAATTTTTGTTTTCCTTTGAATAATTTCCCTGGGACTGAGGCAAAGCTGGAAGAGCTCATTCCCGAGGACTGGGGCGTGCCTGGTGTCACAATAGGACACGAAATAAAACAAGGCAGACACTGGAGCTCCAAAGTAAGAAGAAGGGAATTTTATTTTCTGATTCTAACAGTTATAGACTTTCAAAAGTGACAGTGGATTGGAGGATGAAAGTGCCACCACTCCAATGACACTGGACAAACCAACAGCCCATCAAATTTCTCCTCCTCCAGAGAGGAATGTAAAAACAATAATTATTTACATAAAAGTGCGTGAGAAACTCCATTACAAGAATGTAAACATCAGAAGGCTTAGAAGAACTTAGAAAAACAGGTGTTTCACACCTCAGGTGTGACCAGGCTCCGCTCTCCAAACCAACAGAGAGGTTGGGAGTCCTTTGGAGCACCTCAGTGGAAAGGTCTCCACATCCTCTCCTCTGTAGGAATGTGCCCCCTGTTGATGGAATGACAAAACTATCCTTTATCTCCTTAAAAAGGAAAAAAGCCCAGAAAACTGAGGAAAGAAACTTCCTCAATTAGGTGAAAAGACATCTCATAGCACCTGGGGGACTTCACCTCAAACTTAAGGATAGCCAATTGGACAGGAGCCAAAAAGCCCCACCTGAGCGATTTACTAGAAAAAAAAAAGAGACCAAAGAAACTGATGGCTTTTGTGAAGTGTTTTACCAGGAGCAAGAACCTCTTGCACCTGGCTAGGCTCTTCTTTGTAAAGAGTTTTGTTAAAGAGTTTTGTTATTTTGCCTTTTCTTAAAACTTTTTGTTTCCAACACTACCACAGAAGCCATCCTGCTGATTTTATGCCTTCTAAGGTAGCTGAGCTATCCTGGCTGTGAAACAGATCTCCAAGAACTAATGAGATCTGGCTGGAGGAGACCCCTATTTCACTCCTCCTCCAGGCTCTGTAAGCAGCTGCTCTCGCTCTCCCCAGGGCAGCTTTACCTGCCTCTCCTCCACCACTGCAATTCCACAGTTCCAATTCCGCAATTCCAGCTCGTGTGGAAGGGGGAGCAGCGCCGGGCAGATGTCAGCAGGAGGGAGGGATTTCCCCACTCCTGAGATGAGAGGAAGCCCCAGAGCAGGCTCTCCCCCTTTCCTGAGGAGATGGGGTTTCTCTCCCTCACTTTTAGCAGCAGAACTAAAACACATTCGCCATGCATTTGTAAAATACACGGAACGAAAGCACGCGGAGGGGAAATAATTTATTATTCCTTAACTGTCTTCCTAATTTTATATTCATTTTGTCAAATCACATTGCAGAGAATACCTTCCTCTTTTCGATACCTCATATTTTTTTCTTCACAGTTCATTATACACACTCCCTTAATCAAATATGCTCCACCTTGGAAGTAATTATCAGATACTCCCCACGGGCTACGATTGCTGAATATATTATGGGTCTCTGCTGTGGTAGGAAAGCAGGAGAGAGAGAGGGAGAACTCAGATGAGGTTCATAATCTTGATTACACTGACATCAACTTAACTCCTTACCCTGGAGGGAGTGGTCTTCCCAAAGCAACATGGGTTGGAGTGATGGAGTGAGCAACTCCATGAAACACAGAGATTTTCTGCTTCTCTGCTTGCCAGCACAGGATTGCTGTGGGACAGCTGGAGAGATGTTCAGGCCATGCCAGCCTAGGAAATTCAACCCTTGCAGCTCTGGAGGGGCTGTGAGAGCCACAGGACACTGCTCCAGGCTGGCCTAGCCAGTGACAAGCTGCTCCAAATGGGCTCCCTCCATGGCATGGGCTGCCCACCACTGGCCTGGGCTATGCCAGCTATACCAGGGCAGCTCAGGGGCTGGGCATGCAGGAGGAGCTCAGTCCTTAATGCACAACTGTCCTCACGTGGCATCCTGGAACTCCTGAGCAGCCACCCACAGCCAGCCCTTCTCTGGGTGCATGTGGAATTCGAGCTGCTGTTGAGAAACCTCACTATTAATTATGCTCCACAGTCCTGTTTTAATTAGAAGACAAACTGTTGTGGGAATACAAGCCTAAATTCAGACCTCAGGCCTTTTCATTAATGATTTTCCCTGAACATGTCAAAATAGCACAGTCAGTCCATGCCTCTACTGTATTCTCTTTTGCCTCCCTCCAGTTCAGGCATGGTTTGATGGTGGATCATTGTCTCTGACACTGCCATCAAACCAGACCAGCTTCTGGCATCCTCCCCTCTTCCCAGGGAGCACCTTCATTCCTCCAGTTACCATCTGGTTTCAAAAAGCCCAAGCACACCTGGGAAACAACTCCTGTTTACCCCTGGAATGGAGATACCACCAGCTCTTGTCACTTAGGAAAATCCCATTTTTACCCATATTGTCCTGGAATGGGGGGGGACACACACATGCACAGCAGCTGAGGGGAAGCCCCCCCTCCCTGTGAGGCACCTACCATGTCTGTGTCCGAGACAGGGCCGAAACTCGTCACGTAAATGTCTGTCTTGACTTCAGTTACACTGTCTGGGACAAAAAGGAAAAAAAAAAAGGGAAAAAAAAGGGAAAAAAGAGCAATTAGAGAGCTGAATTTCCTTGTGCAGGCAAGGCTTTGAGGTTTGTTATATAGTGTTTATTCCTGCTCTGCTGAACCCTCAGCACTGTGCTCTGTGCCCCAAACAAGGGCTGATTTTATCACTGGTAATTGGGCACATTCATCTCCAGTGCAGCTCTGCTGCTTCCCACACTTACACTGAAGACAAATCTGTCCCACACGGCCAGACAATGCATATTTACAGACTCTGTGTGCCTGCATCATCCACACCCTGCTCCAGATCCACATGTTTTCAATCCAGACGTAAGCCCTGATGCTTTGAAACTCCTTTTCAATCTGAAATCCCTTTGTGTCTCCCAGCCAGATAAACAGCCTAGCGATGTTCCAGCAGTTTTAGGGAACCCTGGGTTTGTTACAGCTCCAGGCTTATCTGTATGTAAAAAGAATCAATATTCTGATTGCCTTTTACTGCCATCATGCTCGCTCTTCTCCTAAGTGCCTCAGTCTCACAAAGCTGCTGCTGCTGCTCACTCGTCACGCGCTGCCCCTGCACCCCAGGCTGAGATTCCCTCACGGATGCTGAGCAGCAGCTTCACTGCCCCTGCAAAGCCACAGGGCCCTGCTGCCTGCCCAGCTGCTAAAACCAGGGGCAGTTTCAGCCACATGCCTTCAGATAAGCTGGAGTGCTGAGCACAGCCTGCAGCACGTGCACACTGAGCTCTCCTGCCTTGGATTTTGGCTTGTTTCCTAATTGACACCTCTGCTGCCACCCTGCTTTGCAGGGAAATCAAGGCACAGTGATTTCCCAGATTTACAGTCCTGTGCTCTGCCCACTGGGTTGTGCTCAAAACATGATGGATGAGCTGCCTTGAGTTCAGCACTCAGTTGCCATAAATCCTCCCCACTTTAGGGATAGATCACGCTGTTGTGTGGCACTAGCTGGCTCAGAGCTGCTCTCCTAATGAAAGAACCAATTTAAAGCTGCAAAGCAGAGTTCATGTTTTATGCACAGGACCCAATTTTGGCCATCCCAGCAGCCTTGCAAGTAGCCTGGACAGCCCATTGTTTAATTTAGTTATGGAAATCCTTCTGTCCCCTGAGAGTCATTTTGCAGTACTATGAAGCTTAGGTTTGTGCTTCAAAGTTTTACATCCCAAAATAAGATAATGCATTCTGGCAGGGTTTTCTCCTTAATGGCTAAAATATACATATACATGTCTTTAGTTATTATGGCTGAGAAGTTTTTGATGCAGCCCATGGCTGATATTATTGTGCTATAGAAGTAACCCTTGATCTCATCTTGATGAGCTAAAAAGAAGGTTAAAGAGAAATATGTATGTGGTGCAGTTTGTGAAACACCCAGAAATCTAAACAGAATGAGCCCCTTCTGTGAGGCTGAAACACTCAGGGTATTCTCAGCCTCCCTCCAAACAGGTCCCCAGATGAGGTGCACAGCAGAGAACATTGAGTGGTGTGAGGCTCCTTCTGCTACCCCATGCAGTGACATAAAGCTCATTTTGTCCTGGAGAAAACACAAAACTCTCCCTCCCCTCCCCTCCCCTCCCCTCCCCTCCCCTCCCCTCCCCTCCCCTCCCCGGGGTCCATTCTGCAGCCATGGACAGCAGATCAGGAGCTGTGGCCACCCATGGCCAGGGAGGGCAGTCCCTGGGAGGTGCAGGATGAGCTGTGCCCTGCTCACAGGGACAGGGGGTTGCAGCCTCACATTTCTCTTCCCAGAGAAAAGCAAGGCACGATTCTTCCCAAGAATATTTCTGGGATTCACATCCTCTGAACCTCAGAGAAAGAAAACACAATTCTTATCATTTGCTGTGCCTGTGTTTGTGCCAAAGCAGAATGCAATGTGGAGATTGTTTACCCACAGTGATGGTGTTTTGTTTCCTTGGCCTGTCAGGGCCAGGTGTGTGTGTGTGTTGGGACTGTTGGGGGACAGTCACGAGATTCTGGGCAGTGTGTGCAGGGTTGAGTGCTTGGCAGATTCAGTTTAGATGTATAGAATAATATAGTATAATAAAGTAATTAATTAGCCTTCTGATAAGATGGAGTCAGATGCATCATTCTCTCTCCCACCATTGGGGTTGCAGCAAATTCAGTAGGGGGTCATGGAAGGCTCTGTGCTTTCCAATGTGCTCTGCAGGGTCCAAGCACAGGGGAAGGGATTCAGGAAGCCAGGAGAAGACAAAAAGGATTTGTTTTGGACACCTTTTGATATGATCCTGCAATCCTTAACTGAGCTTTTATGTCCTCATCATGCTGTAACCTGGCTGACATAGAGCTGCAGAAACCCCTTCCTGACCCCTCAATCTACTGGTAAATCCAATCAAAGATAATGGAATTAGGAAACTTCAATAATCTATTAATAACTTATTAATATTAATAACTAATTACAACCCATGTCTGAAGAGAATCCCCCATTTCTGGACTGCAGATTTACCCCCTGGCAAGGCCATGCAGCACCCAGAGAAGGGACAAGCTGGGGCTTCACCCCTGGCTCAGTGATGTCCCTCAGCTCTGAGAAAAAGGAGCTTCCTGCACCTCTCATGGCAAAAGGCAGCCTGAACCCTCCCTGTTAATAAGTGCTCCTAAGGGCAGGATTTGGCTGGGATCCGGAGGGATTTCTGAAATTAAATCATTGCTACGCAGGCAGGGATTTCAGCAGAGCTGGGAAATCCAGAGATAAGTGAAACACCAGCAGAACAGAGCGAGCTCCAGCCTCAGAGATTCACTTCCCTTGTGATCCCACAGCCCAAGGGCACCTGCCCTGCTCCCAGCTCTGTGAGACCTCCACCTGCAGAGAAACCAGCAGCTGCCCCAGCAGCCTCCCCTCTCCTTACCCTCACACTGGCCCACCCAGAGCCTGAATGAGATGAAACTGCATCTGCTTTTTCAGCAAGAGAAAGCTGAGGGAAAAGCATCCCCTGCCTCTGCTTAGAGACATGGCAGGGAAATTCCTATTTTCTGCTCAAGCCATTGATGTGCTCGCACTGTAGCTTGGCTATCTTGCACAGTTCTCACCAAAGATTTAACAATTAAGGACATTATGGGGGGGTAGGCACTTTCCCTAGAACTGCTGCAGAACACAAAATGGCATTTTTCATTCCCTAGCAGCATCCTTCCCTGTAATTCAATTTTTTTACAGGCACGAGTCGAACTTTCAAGGCTGCTGGGGTGGCAGGTGGATGCTGCCAGTCCTGTTTATAACCAGGGAAACAAAAACGCAGGGGCTGGGTTCAGGTAGGAAGCTGGAGCAGAGCAAGGAGCAGAGCCCAGGTCTGTCTGCCCTAAGGATTGGCACAACCCTGCCCAAGAGAGCCCTTGGTGAGCTGCCCAAGCCCTTTCCAGCCACCCTGCTGAGCTGCTGCACCAGGAATGCAAAAAAGACCCCGGAGCCAACATGAAACTGGAAGAGCAAGGGATTTCAGGTTCAGTGTTTGAACTGAATTTACAGATCCAAGTGGAATGCCATGTTCCCAAGTCATTTGTTTGAGGATGACTTCCTTGTCTGGGGGCTTTGCCCATCTGTAGGCTCAGCTTATTCCCAAGCTTCTGCACAACCATGTTCCCAGGAACAATTTGGAGCAAGTGTGAGAGAAGAACAAGGCTCTGCAGGTCAGCCAGGGCTGCCCCTTCCCCCCGGGGTACAGAGCCTGCTCCTGCCTTGCTCCCAGCTGTAGAAATCCCCCACAGCTGGGCAGATCTGCAATGCAAATGGCAAACCACACCGCCCTTCCCACAGCGTTGCCATGGCACTTACTACACCTGCCTGCTTTTTGAGAGCTCCCCTCTCCTCCAGCAATCTGCTCCCCCACATCTGGCAGCTTGTGTACCCCAGAGCCCTCTCCAGCCCCGAGGGGAGGGACAGCTCCAGCCCCACAGCTCCACACCAGCAGGTCTGACACCTCCCTGGGTGTGCACAAGGTGTAAACCAGCAGCAGCTGTCGCTGAGGTGTTTCAGGCTTCCCATTTTCCCAGCCCTCCCATCTCGCTGCCCCTGTTCCAAGGCAGACACCCCCTCTTCCCCTGCAATCCCCCCTGTTCCAAGGCAGACACCCCCTTTCCCCTGCAATCCCCCCTGTTCCAAGGCAGACACCCCCTTTTCCCCTGCAATTCCCCCTGCCCCTGCTCCAAGGCAGACACCCCCTTTTCTCCTGCAATCCCCCCTGCTCCTGTTCCAAGGCAGACACCCCCTTTTCTCCTGCAATCCCCCCTGTTCCAAGGCAGACACCCCCTTTCCCCTGCAATTCCCCCTGTTCCAAGGCAGACACCCCCTTTTCTCCTGCAATTCCCCTGCCCCTGTTCAGGGGCAGACATTCCCTTTCCCCTGCAATTCCCCCTGCTCCTGTTCCAAGGCAGACATTCCCTTTTCTCCTGCAATCCCCCTGCCCCTGCTCCAAAGCAGACACCCCCTTTTCCCCTGCAATTCCCCTGTTCCAAGGCAGACACCCCCTTTTCCCCTGCAATTCCCCCAGTTCCAAGGCAGACACCCCCTTTTCCCCTGCCATTCCCCCTGTTCCAAGGCAGACACCCCCTCTTTCCCTGCAATTCCCCCTGTTCCAAGGCAGACACCCCCTTTTCCCCTGCAATTCCCCCTGTTCCAAGGCAGACACCCCCTTTTCCCCTGCAATTCCCCCTGTTCCAAGGCAGACACCCCCTCTTTCCCTGCAATTCCCCCTGTTCCAAGGCAGACACCCCCTTTTCCCCTGCAATTCCCCCTGTTCCAAGGCAGACACCCCCTTTTCCCTGCAATCCCCCTTTAAGTGCTCGTGACTCCCCGGCCCGGGAGGAGATAGCTGGCTGCTATTATTTACAAAATGACGGAGTGCTATTTTTACTCGCTTCTTGGAAGCGCGGGGAGCAGCGGCAGGGCTGGAACACGAATTACCCCGCCTCGCTGCCTCTGCCCTCCCCGGCTGAGGAGCTGCGAGTGATCCGGGGAGGGGGGCACGGGGGGCGG